CCTAAACCCTAAACCCTACACCTACCAAAACAAACTGCCCGAGGGACACTTGATGAAGCTATGTAGAATCAATCCCCGAACCCGAAGCCGCGGCCTGATAAAGATGCAATGCTTGCATACCAAGCTTTACGAGTAGGATGCAGGCCTCTTCCCCGGCACTTACAGTAGGGTTTTGGGTTTAGGGGCCCTACACTGCCCTAAACTCTAAATCCCCGGTCCAATGCCGCCATGGGAAGCCTCACCCACTGCAGCAGCACGGGGCGGTTCGAATCCATGTCGAGCGCCTGGCTTCGAGATCTTAGGGCTTAGGGGTTTAACGTAGGGGCCTGAATAATTAGAATAAGCCTCTGGGGCCCAATATACTATAATTATAACCCTAAACCCTGAACCCAAAATAGTATTGGTAGCAATTTAGGCCCCTACTTAAAGGATCATGGGACTTAGTAAGTAGGGTTATAACCAAGGTAACTATACTTATAACCCCATTTAGGGGACTTATAAGCTTACTTACTAAGTCCCATGATCCTCCAACCCTAAACCCTAAACCCTAAACCCTAAACCCTAAACCCTAAACCCTACCTTACTAAGTCCCATGATCCTCCAAGCACAGTAGGGTTTGAGGCATCTTGAGGGCCCTCTGAAGTGCGGAAGATGTCGGGGGTCTTCGGGCTTAGGAGTTGGGACTTTGGGTTTAGGGTTTAGGGTTTAGGGTTTAGGGTTTAGGGAGGATCTTCTACCCATAGGCCCCATAGAAGCTCCTTTTGGGGATTACCTTTATAATCTTTATAGGAGTCTAAATATGAACCCCAAAAAGGAAGTACTATGGGGCCTATGGTCAACCCGTCCTGAAAACTCAAGACATGGTTTGAAAAATTCTGTCATGCCACCGGACTCGTTAGGGTTTACAGTAGGGTTTAGGGTTTAGGGTTGAGGACAGCTCGGGGCCTGTCTGCGTGTCGGATTGCACTTCGATGTCTAGCGCCTTTGGCTATAACTTCTCACATTTTGGAAGCCTGTGCTGCGCGTGGTGCGTGGAGGCCGTGAAGCAAGGTACCTTCCCTAAATGTCTGTAATGCAGGGGCCTTAATAATTAGAATAGGGTTTTGGGGCCCATTATACTATAATTAGAATAAGGAACCCTCGAAAGAGTGTAGGCAATTATTTAGGCCCCTAGATTACATCTGAATTTCTCTGCCTGGGCTACTAAGCTCAGTCGGCTGCTGGCTCCGACTCCTGCTCCGACGGCTTTTCGTCCTCGGTTTCCGACACACCCGCCGTGAAGAGGTGGACTTTCAACCCGATCTCAGGCCACTTCTTGGCCAACTCGACATAGGCCGGCAATGTAAGCACTCGGCTCGGATTGTCTTTGATGAAGGACAGACACGCCTGTTCCAGTTTTTTCGCCTGGAGCAGATGCGCTTGGCAGAGGATGTCGCACACCTGTGACACGTTGACTTCTTCGGCAAGTGTCGCCTCGTTTGGGAGCCGGCCAAGACGAATCTACACAGAGGCCCCATAGTAGTTCCTTTTTGGGATTACCTTCTAGGATTCTAAATATGAACCCCAAAAATCGCCTCGCACCAAAGCTGAAGCCGCTTGACTTGATACTTGTGGCTCACACTCAGCAGCTCCTGAACCAAAGATAACTGCAGGCTGCCATTGGCATTCTCTTCGTCCCAAGACTGCTCTTTCTGGGCATCCGGCAACCGATCGGTGTAGAGAAACTGCAGAAAGGCCTTGAAGGTGGCGGCCTCGCAGTCCTCGATCACGATGACTTTCGAGACGCTTTCCTGCATGCCGGCCGTCAGCTGCTTGCTGAGCACCTCGGACCGCGCACAGAGAATCTGTGAATGCGCCTCAATCTCCTCGCCCTGCACCATGAACCTCACGTCGCTGCACGTGCCTTCCTTCAAGAGCGCCTGCATATCCTCGAGGATGGTCGGCTCGGGAACCTCTGCCTCAGCGACAAGGCTTAAGGGCTGCGACGTGCCGCCTCCGTCAGGGCGGACTTCAAGCTCGAACTTCACCACGAGGGTGTCGTTGTCGACCCACTCGGATTGCAGCAGCTCCTCATGGCTCAGCCCGAAGACGCCCAAGGAAGAGGGAGGATGGCCCTCCACATGCACATCGGGGCCGTAGGCGCGAATCTTGATACTGCTGCCGAAGTGGACCACGTCGCATGTCTCACCCCACTGCACAAACTCCCCGTTCCACGCCTTGACGTAGATGCTATATCGAATGGCCAGACATTCCTCCGTGCTCAACAGTATGGCAAGCGACCCGTGCTGATGCTGCTGCCTGCACAAATCTTGTTCCCAGGGGCTGTAGACGAAGTAGAACATCTCGTCGCCAAGATCAAAGGGCAGGGAGCAGACAAAACGCTGCTGTCGCTGCTTCAGCATGCCCCTCAACCATGAAAAGCCCTCGATTCTCCAGACATGCTCGCCCCTGACGACCGTATCCACGCAGTTAATGCTTGTTCCGCCTCTTGCTTTCATGATGTGTGGCTTCCTGGGCGGATATTCAACATACGGACGCCCACGGTCCTCATCAACGGAGCGCCGATGCCTCTCTTGGGACTCGTTTGCTGTCTGCTGCTGCTCCAGCCTGCCTCGGTTCAGGTTGAGGGTTTAGGGTTTAGGGTTTAGGGTTTAGGCTTTAGGGTTTCAGGGTTGAGGGTTTGGCCTTTAAGTTTTGAGCTTTACTCTATTTCGGGTGTCCGTTTTAGGACTTTGGGCTTTGGGGCTCAGGCTTTGAGGTGACTCCGGGCTCCGAGTTTGGGACTTCGGGTTTGGGCTCCAGCCTGCCTCTCATCTGTTCCAGCTCTCTGCGCAGCCTCCACCGCTCATCGGCGTGGGCAATCCTCAGTTTCTGTCCAGGAATCCTAAACCCTAAACCCTGAACCCTATAAAGTACAGTTACGATAAGACCGGCAAAGCATATTTCAAAAGCCTGAGCCATGGTCACTTAAACTTAGGTTCCTGAACAGGAGCCCGAAACTAAATCCCAAACCCTGAATCCTAAACCCTAAACCCTAAACCCCAAACCCTAAACCCCAAACCCTAAACCCTAAACCCCAAACCCTAAACCCTAAACCCCAAAGCCTGAATCCTAAGCCCATCCTGAGGGTGAAGAGGATCTGAAACCTAAGCCATCTGGGACTTTCCGAAAACTCGGGCCTAAAAGGGACCGTACTATCCTTATGGGAGCTTCCGAAAATAAGGGGTACCCTATTTGGGGGTCCTCAAAGGGGTTTAGGCTTGAGGGCTTAGGGTACCTTATTTCGGGGTCCTGATAATAAGGAACCTATTATTTAGGGTACTATATTAGGGTCCCTATTTTTAGAAACCCCCATCTCCTCAAGAAAAGCCGAACACCGGAAACGTCCCTGAACCTTATGCCCTCCCGCACCAATCAGAAGAACCCCAAGACTTACACTACAAATGTCGAAACATTTACCAATGGTATTCCTTGGGGCCTTTAATTATAGTGATACTCCTTCCCAGTATAATGTACCCCACAAAACCATATTCTGAGTAGAACGGCCCCTCTGTAACCCGAGCCCTAAACCCTAAACCCTAAACCCCTAAACCCCGAAACCCCTAAACCCTAAACCCTGAACCCTAAACCCTAAACCCTAAACCCCTAAACCCCTTAACCCCTAGACCTTAAGCCCCACACCCTAAATACAGACGAGCCCAGGCTCTCCACCGTGATCTCCGCCCCCCGCGCCTCCTCCGCCTCCGTCTGCCGCCTGGCTGCCTCGATCGCGGCGCGCAGCTCCTCGGCGGTCATGGCCGCCATGGAGGCCGGCTGGGAAACTGCTGCTGCGGGGGCTTTAGGGTTTAGGGTTTAGGGTTTAGGGTTTAGGGGTTAGGGTTTAGGGTTTAGGGTTTAGGGGTTTAGGGTTGGGCTTAGGGTTTAGGGTTTAGGGTTTAGGGTTTAGACTGGGAAACTCCTGCTGTGAAATAAGGGGCCTTAATGATTAGAAGAGGGTTTTGGGGCCCATTATTACACTGCGTTATAATCAGGAACCCCCAACATAATATAGGTAATTATTGAGGCCCCTTGTTTAGGGGCTTTCATGCGCGGTTCGCAACTTGTAATAGGCTTCCATGTTTCTAAGATGGTGTTGTATGGGTTGTTTGTCGGTTCTATACGGGCTCTGTCCACACAGGGGGGGTATAAGGCTATTGTTTTCAACAATGCACTGGGATATAGCGTACATGATATTTAGTTCCCGGTTATGCTACCCTATGAGAGTAAGTCCCTTCACCTGCTGGGAATAGCACAGGGTGGAGGTGAGCCGGCTGCAGAACTCGGCTTCGAGCGTGTCAGGTGGGTTTGGGGTTCGTGGGCTTCGAGGGTTTTATGGGCTTCGGAGACCCTGAAACCGCATGCTCTCCGCAAACTCTGAGAACCCTGTACCATGACTGGCGGCCTGTGGGCGGGTTTAAGGTTTGGGGTTTAGGGCTTGGGGTTTATGGCGTCGTCTTCGGCGCTTATAGGATTTGGGGGTTTAGGGTTTAAAAGGGTTTGGGGTTTATGGGACTTTTGGGGTTCTCGGGTTTAGGTTCTACAAGACTTTGGGGATAGAAATCCCCCTAAGATCCCGAAAACCCCAAGATCCTTCGAAATCCGCAAATCGTAAACCCATCCTGGGGCTGCATTCTGGTGTTTAGGTTCTGAGTAGGGGTTTAGGGTTTAGGATTTAGGGATAGGACTTACGATTGAGATCTTAGGCGGGGTTCCTGCAAGCTGTAAATCTTGGGGCAGTGGTGGTTCGGGTGTCGGGAAACTTCCTAAACCCTCAACCCCGAACCCTAAAGCCTTAACCTGGAACCATGGGAACATGGTTTGTGTTCGGGCAATGACGAAGCGGCTGCTAGCATGGGCAAAAAGGCTGAGATGTCGAAGGTGTTAGGGTTTCGGAGCTTCATCCAAGTCTGGGTTTAGGGTTTAGGGTCTAGGGTTTAGGGTCTAGGGTCTAGGGTTTAGGGTCTAGGGTTTAGGGTTTAGGGTTTAGGGTTTAGGGTTTAGGGGTATCTCCTCATCGCCCTATGTTGGGATAGTGCCATCTACACCAGCTAGCTCTGATGATGCAATGAAGATGCGTGTGCCCCCGAAAAGATCAGATCATCGGCTCGCTGATGTCGGCTTCGGGCACTGACCCATCGGATAAAAAAATCGTCCTTCGGCACTACTGTAGGGGCCTTAACAATTAGAATAGGGTTTTGGGGCCCATTATGCTATAATTAGAATAAGGAACCAAAAGTATAGGTAATTATTTTATTAAGGCCCCTGTAGTATTTTGATGCCGGTTGTCAAGCACCGTACATTCCGGCGGCCTTAGGCACAATAGATTTGAAGCATTGCGGAGTCTACACTCTTCACGTCGGACTACCATTGCCTGTGCTGTTGCTCTTAGTTGGCGGCCTGCTCCGATTGCTGCCCTTGGGGCGTTTCCATGGCATCGATCGCGGCCAGTGCAGCGTTTTCCGCAACGCCGGCCGAGAAGAGGCTGACCTTCACCCCGATCTGAGGCCACTTCTTGACCATCTCTATGTAGGTCGGCAGAGTGAGCACCTGAGCTGCACGCTCTCGGATGAAGCCCAGGCATGCTTGTTCCAGCTGCTTCGCCTGGAGGAGGTGCGCTTGGCGTAACATGCCACAAACGTGCGGGGTGTCGATTTGCTCGGAAAGCTTGACCTCACACCAAATCTGCAGTCTTTTCACTTGATACTTGTGGCTGACAGCCATAAGCGCCTGGATCTGCGACAACTGTGGACTGGTGCTTGCGTTCCCGGACTCGCTTGAGGTACCCTTCGGAAGGAGATCCTGGACGTCCGGCAACCGATCGGTGTAGAGAAACTGGAGAAAGGCCTGGAAGGTAGGGACATCGCAGTCCTCGATCTTGATGACTTTCGAGATGCTCTCTTGCATGCCTGCCGTCAGCTGCTTCCTGAACACCTCGGACCGTGCACTTAGAATCTGTGAGTGCGCCTCAATCTCCTCCCCTTCCACCATGAACCGCACGTCACTGCACGTGCCTTCCTCGAAGAGCGCCTGCGTGTCACGGACGATCGTCGACTCCGGAATCTCCGCTGCAAGGCTGAACATTTTCTTGTTTGCATATATGTCAGGACGAACTTCCAGCTCGAACTTCACAGTGAGAGTGTCGTTCTGCACCCACTCCGACTGCAGCAGCTCCTCATGGCTCAGCCCGAAGATGCCCAGAGAAGAAGCAGGATGATCTGGCAAATGCGCATCCGGGCCATATGCACCCCACTCTTCATCGTCCCCCTGGTGGACGACATCTCGCGTCTCGCCCCACTGCACGAACTCACCGCTCCGTGCCTTGACGTAGATGCGATACCGAAGCGTGATGCGTTCCTCCGTCTGCAGCACTATGGCCAGCGACCCATGCACCCGCTGATGCTCGAGGGCCCACGGGTTGTAGTGAAATACGAACTTCTCGTCACCAAGTGGAAACGGCAGGGAGCGGACGACTCTGTCCTCATTGTCCTGTTCCAACATGCCCTTCAACCAAGAGAAGCCTGTGATCCTCCAGACAAACTCGCCCCTGGCGACATCGAACGCGCAATCAGTGCTCTGTCCGCTGCTTGCTCGCATCACGCGGTGTGTGGGCGCTCCAACAACAGAATACATCCAAAACGGAAGCCTGTCCGTGTCAAAGGATCGACGACGCTCAGCCTCACGCGCATTTTCTGCCTGCTCGGCTGCTAGCCTCAGTCTCGCCTTCTCCAGCTCCACGCGCAGCTTCTGCCGCTTCGCCGCCTGGGCCGTCTCAGCCTCGAGTTCGCGCCGCCTGGTTTTCTCTGCCTCCACCTGCCGCCTAGTGGCCTCGATTTCGGCTTCCAGCTCTGCGGCCGTCGTTGGTGCCGCCATGGCGAAGGAGTTTTCTTGCAAGAGACGACCGCAGAGTTTCGGAGTTAGGCAGCCATTCGTTACCGGACGGCAAACAAACTGATCCCTGGAGCCCCTCATGGAGTTGAGCCTGCGAGCTATGCATGGGCGGAAGAATAATGCAGACTTATGACATCGAGGTCAGTATGTTTGAACCTGATTCGCTGGATGAGACAGGAGAACCACACTTTCTGGTTCCGTGCAAACCACGGGTCTTGAACAGCTGCAGCACGGAAACAAATCGGCCAGACAACGAAAATCTCGGGAAACCTTACCCTGAATGAACTGCCCTGTGCGAACGAATCGCACCAAGCCGGCGTAGGTCAGTTGGGACATGGGGCGAAGTCAGTGCTCGAGGGATGTCCGCAGGATCAGCTTAGTAGCGTGACTATCAGGGCAGGGGTTTAGGGTTTAGGGTTTAGGGTTTAGGTACTACAACGCAGCAGTACTTCGCTACCACATCGGCAGAGTGGGCCGCAACAAGATGAAGGAGGATCGATCAAGGTCAGGGCGGCCACTTCCAATGACTAGCTCTCTCAGTTCTGGTAAGGCCCCTTATAGGCCCCAAAATAGGACGGCACCCTGATACAAAGTATCCTAAAAGGAACCTTAATTTAGAGAACTACCTCTGGATGGTAGTTTCCAAAAATTAGGGTACCTTATTTTGGGGTCCTTATAATAAGGGTCCTACTATTTAGGGTACTATATTAGGGTCCCCTATTTTCGGAAACTGACGGATGAGTCGTGGTGGATGGCCCTACGTCCGAGCTGGGAGCAGATAGGGACATGACTCTTCTTCCTCTCACTTTTAAAACGCTCACTCTCAGTCTTACTGGGAGAAGCTATCCAAGCCAAGTCCAGATAAACCCCCAAGATGAGGGTTTAGGGTTGAGGGTTTAGGGTTGAGGGTTTAGGAGTTGCCGATACCCTGAAAGGCTCTGCAGCATCGACGCAGCAACAGCACTTCGGACCCCAAAGTGAAGACCCTAAACCCCCAACCCTGAACCACCATAAACCCTAAAAACCCAAACCCGATAAACCCTATAAACCCTTAACCCTAAATGCCCTAAACCCTAAACCCTAAACCCTCAGCCCTAAACCATATCCCAAAAGGAGCTTTAGGAAGCCAGAGCTGACGGCCGAGGCTTTGCCCCCACCAAAACACACCCACACTGAGCGGAGCTAACCCCAAACTGTAAGGAACCCCAAAACCCTCGAAGCTCTGCCTATGCCCCGAAAGAACCCTCAACCTCTCTTTCATATGTACCTAAACCTTAGACCCCTTCGTGGGCAGTGATCAAACCCCCGCGGGCAGTGATCAAAC